TATCGAATATATTCGGAAACTTTCAGTTCTTATAACAACTGATTCCTTATTCATACTCAAGTAAGCCCATTGCCATGCTTTCCATCTTAACAGAAAGCCTACTTACTATGGTTGCTTACTCTATCGTTTGGTTTGTTTTTGTTTTGTTTTAAGGCATATCAACACCTCAATGGGTCATTTAATGCCAACAACTTTTTTTTCCTGGTAATATTTTTGTTTTGTCAAAAATCTATTTCTGTTAATATTTTTTTCCTCAAAAATGTATAGCTGGTAATATTATTTTTTCAAAAACGTATAGCCGGCAACACTATTCTTTCAAAAACTTATAGCTGGTAATAATATTTTTTTCAAAAACGTATTACCAGTGGCATGCTGTTGGACGTAGTTTATCGTCATACCAAGGACGCAGATGTAGTTTAGCGTCATACCAAGGACGGGGATTTAGTTTATCGTTATACCCAGGACGTGGATGTAGTCTGGGTGTTAACTATAGCTGGGACCCTAACAGGTGTTACCACCCCGGGTCAGGGTGGACCTGGGAACACCAGCAATTAAGAGGTGGTTCCACGTTACTCAAAACCTCCTGATCAGAGGCCTTGCTGTTGGACGTATTTTAACGTCTTACCCAGGACGCAGATGCAGTTTAACGTCATAAACCAGGACGACTTACTCGATCGGTCACCAACAAATATTGTATAGTGTAAAATATAGTGGACTTGATTACACCTGCAACGGTGTTATTGAATAATGACTGTTTGAATAAACGTAATATTTCTGGACGAATCTTTGAATTGTTCCAGTCAATCGTATCATATCGAGCAGTGAATGATGTTTGGAATGGCCACTCTTCTAGATCCTTTGCCCAGAGCGTCATCTTTGCATCTACGGTGTTTCCTAAATTTCGTCAACGACTTTTCTGATGTCCCCATCTCTCATCTCGGTATTTATGCTGATATGACGAATATTTACACGGTCCGACAAGATCAAATTGGCAGCTGATCTAAAAAAAAAAAAAAAAAAAAGATTTACATTCTGTTGTTAACGGAGGCAAGGAATGGCTTGTTAAATTTAGCGCATCAAAGAAGAAACTGCTCTTTTTTAATCGTCTAAGACAGGGGTCACCAAACGTTTTACAGAGAGGGTCAGATTACTGAGATAATGACGAGCGCTGACCGGATAACAATTTTATTCAATACAATACACTGAATGCACACACAAAATAAAGACAACAAACGTACTTATTTACTAAAAAGTTATCCAAGGCGACCATTGAACTAAAATAGTTATATCACACCCAGTGTACACATATCAGAATCTCACAAACTATGCAGCAAAAAATGTTAGGGAAATTTGTGAAGCCGGCGTTTACTTTTTAAGATATAATTAATATTTGTTTTGGTATTGCTGCATCCAACCATGGGAAATGCTTTCTAATGTTCATCAGTCAACCTCTTTACATGTGCTGACTTTACATACTTTAGATTTTATAAGTTCAGGCAAAATATATGACGTAATTCGCTGAAGTCAGACCTTTTTATATACGGCACTATTCAAACCGGTTTAAACACGGCAATGCAAGTTAAAACATAATTGCTGCAGCAGGCTCGTAATCGCTTTTCTTAGAAACTCCATTGCAGGCACTTAAACAAAAACGCAAAGATATCAAAAGTCGCCTAATTTTTTTATTTCACGGATATTCCTAAAACTTAAATTAGTTCCAGATGCAAAAATCAGAGTGGCCAAATTTGGGCATTTTTACTTACATTTATTTTAATTTTTTCTGCATAGTAATTTTAACTGCAATCTATTGATAATTCCATATAAATAATTATAGTTTAGCTTATTCGTGGCACAGTGAAACAGCGGGCCGCATGAACCGAGATTGGTGGCCGGATCCGTCCCGCGGTTCTTAGATTGCTGAAACCTAGTATATGATAAACCTTTTTGCTTCCATCATCATGGCTGATGCTAACCACCTTCTCGGAGTAACGTGACATGGAATGGAAAGTGTATATAATCAAATGCTAAATCTGCATCTAAGAATGCTGGTTCATTATGTTGTGCTAGACAATTTTTTTCGCCAAAATCTGTCTTACATATGTATACCTCTACTATTCATCCTTACTTTGAATATTTTAGCAATTTGGTTTGGAGCTCTTGCTCTATATTTAGAGATTCTTGATAAAATCCCCAAAACAATATGCAATGTTATTGGTCCCCACCTGGCATCTCCGTTGCAGTCACTTTCGCACCGTCGTAACGTACCTACCCTGTGCCTTTTCCATAAATACTTTTATGGTTATTTTTTGACGAACTCTCCTTTATGGTAGCTAGACTTTATGAATTCAAACGCAGTGCTAGACTTGCGGCAAGGTCCCATCATTTTACAGCTGAAATGATACGATGTAACCGTAAGTTCTATGTTAACAGTTCCTTCTATCGCACTTCTCGCATGTGGAACTCGCTTCCGGTTTTTTACTTCCCAGTCAATTTTGATCTTCAAAAATGTAAATTTAATATCAATGATTATCTTCTGTCTTTTGAATTCCTAAGCTTTATTGTTCTCTCTCCTTAATAGTGTTTCTTTTTTCTCAAATACCTCATAAATAATGTACTATTCCGTTTTGATCCCGTGGAAATATGGAAAAGATATATCGGAGACGTTATTTGGTTTCAGTGAGAAAATGAAAAAAGTTTGATTAAACATAAAAATGATGACGTAATAATGTCGTTTTTGACGTCAAAAATACGTCAAAGAACGACATTATTACGTCATTATTTTTTGCACCAACCTAATAGAAATAAATAAATCCCTTGAGAAAGAATGTTTAAAATTACTTAATTCATAACAATTTTTCATCAGTTTGAGAATAGAAGGAGCATTTTAGACACATGCGGCTTTTTTACCGTGAAATCAAAAATACCTCGAGAGCACGGTGAAGGTACTTTAGTTGACAGTACTGTACGGAAGTGGTTCTCTAAGTTTAGAGTTGGTAATTGTAACGCAGGTAGAGTACCCGCTACGACGAAATCAAGACATTCATTGAGAATAACCAGCATGGCACAACACAAGAATTGGCAGAAACAGTGAATTTATCAAAATTTCCCATCTATGAACACTAAGTGACGCTTGAGTACTAAAATCATTCTGATGTTTGTGTACCACATGATCTGAGTGAAAAGAATATTTGGATTGTATTTCATCTGTGATGAGAAATGGATTGCTTACAACAATGTTCAGCAAAAATGATACTGGGGAAAGTGACATGACCCAACTTTAGCCACCTCAGAATCAGGTTTTCATCCTAAGAAAGTTATGCTGTGCATCTGGTGGAATTGGAAAGGAATGTATGATGAGATTCTTCCAAGTAACCAGTCAATTGATTCTGACAAGTACTGCTCATAAATGAACGAACTAAAAGGCAACAATACAGGAAAAATGCTCAGAATTGGCAAACAGGAAAGGTGTTTTGTATTAGGAGAATGCCAGACCTCATGTTTCTTTGGCAATCTTGCAAAAATGTTGCAGCTTAGCCGAGATGTGTTATACTACCCTTCAGTCACCAGGCATTGCTCCTTTGGATTTTCATTTGTGTCTTTACAAAATAATCGCAAAAGGTAAAAACTAATTCTTTGGATGATATAAACAACCACCTGAATGAATTCTTTGTGGAGAAACCACCAAAATGCTGGGAAGATGGAATCTAAGTTAAAGGAAAAATGGAGAAAGGTTGCGCAACAAAATGGTTCATATTTAGTTGAATAAATATTTAATAGCATAATTTTGTTTTCTATCTTAATTTCCTTTAAAAAATAAACTTCCAGGACAATCCAATAACAATTTCGCTTGAAGATGGAACAGAGCTTACTTTAACTCAATTTAATTCAAATAATTATATTGAAGTTTTCGGCTCTTGTTTTGAAACATGAGACCTCTTATGTCGCGAGTTGGAATCATATTTTTAAATAAATAATTATATTTATGCTCTACTTTTATATCGAGCACTATTTTAAAAAATAATAATTAAAATACTAAGGAACTTTGGATTATTTACCTAACCAGTTCCTTCCTATTTTTTATATTTTTCATATATATATATATATATATATATATATATATATATATATATATATATATATATATAGATTATTTGTGTTTTATTTATTAGCAAAGACACCACGATAACAAAGCGACAGTCACACTTCCTGTTCGTACCAGAATGATAAAACAGAATAAAAAGGCGCGAAGAAAGGACAAAAAAGAAATCGAATCAAAATAAGAAAATTCGTTACGAAAACTTTAAAGATCATGGCACCACAAAACAAAGAATTCAAAATAAGAAATTAAAAAGTTTTAAATATTTCAACGGTAAACCAGATCGGAGATTAAAAAACGAAAAAAAAAACAACAACAAAAAACATGATAGATTAAAAAAACTATAAAAACGGACGAGAATAATTAAGGTTTTTAAGTGCAAACATATCTACGTGTAGAATCTGGATGTTTTTAAGATCAATTCAACATCGAGAGCGTCGCTGAATCGTGCTGAAAACTAATACCATTCAGATGAAATCAGCTCGTTCCAAAGAAAGTGTGATCTGGACAAACAGTGCTTCAAAAGGAAAAATATATTCACAACAACTATAGCAAAATTGTCAACAGCGATCGAAATGATAATGGCGAACAGCCAACATCAGCGTGTCAATACGACAACCACTTAAAATGGCGATGACACTAAGTAGAAAAATAGTAATCTTTCTAACTCTATATCTCCAAGGCAGGCACACAAAACACTACGTTTACATAAAAAGAAAATTTAAAAAAAAAAGGAGAAATTATCAAAGGAAAATCATAAAATAATGAAGCAATAATAATAGTAAAAATGCGGAACGCCTCCATCAATAATCGCCATCTTTATCATATTAAATTCCATTTCATTAAACTTTATCGACTCCTGTATTATCGTCTGTACGTTTTTTTTTGTATTTTTCTTTATCAGTTTTCTTTCTTCATTATATTTTCCTTCATGTTTTTCTTTTTAGAGATCTTTTTTTTTATTTATTATTTTCTTTCCACGTTTTCGTGATCAGTAAAAAAAATTCTTTGAAAAAATGTTTTCATAATTTTATTATAATTTTTTTACTTCTTCATTGTCATATATCTGTTTAGCTTCTTGGAATACGCTATCATTTTTCTTTATTGTTTTTCACTATTTTTATCTTCTTTCTTCATCGTCTTTTATTTCTCGTCTGCGTTATTCAATTCATTTTTTCTTCCTTTTTCTTTACAAATTTTGTCTCTCCGTTTTCGCCCATGTGATTCTTTTACTTCTTCGAAAGTCTTTGTCTTTTCTCTTCTTTAATTTTTTTCTTTCTTCTTTTTCTTTTGTCTTCCTTCTTTTTCTTTTTTCTTCTTCTTCGACTTATCCTCCTTCATTTCTTCTTCGTTTCTTTTTCCTCGTTTTCCATCTTCGTTTTTTTTTTTCATCTTTTATTCTTTTTCATTTCATTTTTCTTCCTCAGTTTTTTCCTCTTCAATTACGCGTACATTTTTTTTCGTTTTTTTCTTCATCTTTTATTCTTTTTCATTTCATTTTTCGTCTTCGGTTTTTTCTTCTTCATTTACGCTCTCATTTTTCTTCTTCGTTTTTTTCTTCATCGTTTATTCTTTTTCATTTCATTTTTTTTCCTCGGTATTTTTTCTTCATTTACGCTATCATTTTTTTTTTCGTTTTTTTTTCATCTTTTATTCTTTTTCATTTCATTTTTTTCCTCAGTTTTTTCTGACCCAGTGTGGAGAAGCTAATAAGTCTCATCTATGGGCAAATATTGTTTCGGTGTTAGTGGTGGGAATGATAGATGTGTTGATAATAGATTAACTCTTATCCCCAGACAGACATTTGAGGGCTGATGAAGATCTGCATCAAGTTGTGCCTATTTGAATAGACTATACCCACATGAGGTAATTTTGGATTTTTGCTGTAATATATATATATATATATATATATATATTATTTATTCGAAAATTATAACATAAATACGTTATAAAGTCACTACAAAAATAGCCATTTTGTTTCAACAACTCTAGTGACTAATCAAGTGATGATGTTCAACATCATCACATGATTAAAACCAGAGGTTTTGAAAACAAAATGGCTATTTTGTAGTGATTTCTTAACATATTTAGGTTATAATTTTCGAATAAATAATTATATTTGCTCTACTCTGTATTGAGCACTCTTTTAAGAATAGTAATTGTTGGTTATTGAATTTATTCCGTATACACCAATCTATACTTGTATTTATATATATATATATATATATATATATATATATATATATATATATATACATGCTCCATTATAATAAATACATTTAGCTGTCTGTTGATCAGTCTCAATATTTGATATTACTAGGATCCACGTAGATTATATACCAACGGATCTATTACCTGTATATATATATATATATATATATATATATATATATATATATATATATATATATACACTTTATTTCAGGATATTAGATCAAAAACGCCAAAAATTGGGATGCCTTTTAAAGAAATTCCGAAACGGCTTTGTCCTTGTTCTACTAGTAAAATAAATATATATATTTCCATGAAAAGTTGCAACGAATATTACATTGGCTAAAGCGGCCAGTCAATCCGGCAAAGAATGGCAGTCCATTGCCAACAAATTAGGGATCCCCATACCAGAGCCAACACATAGAGGAATGCGAAGGATAAAATGCGCCAATTTTTAGTACAAAAGAACCACTGAACAAAGGTTGATTGATAAGGAAACATTTTTCTCAACAATTTCAAACCCATACTTAATTCATTGCATAAATAAATTCTACCAAATTCCCCTTACCATAAACGACATATAAAGCCAGTTACGCCCCTTGATTTTTATTTCTTTTCATTGGTAGAAAACAAAAGCATCAACACGTTCAGGGAGAAACAGTTAAAAAGTTTTTGAAAAGCTAAGCGATTCCGTTTCAGGTAAAAAAGGTTTTTAAAAAAGAAAACAATGAATTATTTTTCCTAAGAAAAAACACTGAAAATTCAATTATAAGTAACAAAGTTTTAATTCTTCTCTGTAAATATTCATATATTATAAATAAATAACACTATATTAAGTATTAGGCGCCTTTTTTCCAATCGTTATAAGTTTTTGTATAGAAATATATATATATATATATATATATATATATATATATATATATATATATATCAGATATGTATGAGAACGAAAATAGTATATAAATTCTAACGTTCACAGCATTAATTCAAAAGCGGGCTCAATACCAATAGTACAGACATTATTTATTATTTTTTTTCATATCGACAAAAACAATTTACTCACTACAAAGATGCAACTTCGTTTCGGTGCATTTTGTTTGTGTATATGTAAACATTATAATATATATATATATATATATATATATATATATATATATATATATATATATATATATATATATATATATAATTACGATAAACGTGCAATCAATTTATAAATTCATGAATTATTCACACAAAAACAAATGCAAATTAATGATTTAATTGGCAAAATCCATCATCGGAACAATTCAAATAATATACAAATTCAGATTCGGAGGATTTGTATATTTTGTAATTAAATCATTAATTGTTTTTGTTTTTGTTTAATATATTTATATATATATATATATATATATATATATATATATATATATATATATATATATATATATACATGGAATCTTAACGTGGTCTGTTTTTATTCAAACAAATATATATATATATATATATATATATATATATATATATATATATATATATATTTTTACTTTTAATTAAAATAAAAAAAAATATCATAGTAATAATCAAATGTGAAAGTAGTTCTAGAAACCTTGGTAAATATTCATTAAATTGACGAATCACCTTGACTGACCGATTCAAGAAACCGGGTTCAGACTGGAGGAAAATTATTATGTATTGTTTTAGCAAAAACTGAAAAAAAAGTATTTACGTTGGGTTGCTTTCGTTGTATTTACTCCTGTTAAAATATTGCTAGAGTAATATATATGATAAAATGTGAAAAAAAGAAAAGGAAAGAAAGTTTCAAAACGAGCAGATATGTGTTTCAATGATACAAAGACATCGACTCTCACTTGCAAATAAAATCAATAGCAACAGGATGGTTTTAAATCCAACTATTCAATTCTTTCAGGTCTGCCTTCCAAAGAACGTGATTAAACTGTTCCTGTCGTTCTATCTATCTATCTATCTATCTATCTATCTATCTATCTATCTATCCATCTATCCGAATTTATATCTATCTATCTATCTATCTATCTATCGACATATTTAATATTTTTTTTTAAAATGCCTGATAATAAATTACATGCGAACTTTGATATAAACCAGTTATTGTTCGGAGGTTGGTTTGATTTGGTTTGGTTTGTTTTACGACTTATCAATCTCAATGGGTTATTTAATGCCGACAAGTTTTTTATTGCTGGTAATATATTTTTTTTTCCGAAAATATATTGCTGGTAATAATTTTTTTAAAAGTATATCTGGTATTAAAGCCTATTTTTACACTTTCATAGTGTTTTGACCACAGCCTTGGAGTTAATTATTTGCCCATAGCTGGGACGCAAAGAGGAGCTACCACCCCGGGTCAAAGTGAACCTGGGATCACCAACAAATAAGAGGTGGTTCCACGCTCCTCAAAACCTCCTGATCGGAGCCCTTGATGCTGGATGTAGTTTATCGTCTTACCCAGGACACGTATTTAGTTTATTGTTATACTTAGGACGGATTTTACGGAGGACTGATATAAAAACGTTATTTAATTTTGTTCAATTTATTCGAGTGATATTTTTTCCTGTACATCATCGCCTTGCTTAGATCAGCTTAATACGAAGATATCTAGGAGCATTCGATCTTGGCTGCCTTATGGTCAAACTTAAATCACAACGTGGGACAAGGTTGGCTCTGGATTGAAGCGCTCACTTCAGCGACCAGCGGCGGTATTTGAAGTCTTGGACGACCGGGGAGGGTTTTGGGTAAATTTTTCATTTTAACACCCGAGCGTCATTCACTGCTGAACTATTTTCTTTCAGAAATTAGTACGCGCTTCCGTAAAGCAATTTTTTGTACTTAATTTAAGAAGAAAGTTAACTTTCAAATATATGTAAACATCGACAAATAAAAGAATAACAAAAAAAACCCACCTAACCCTAATGTGAAAGTTAACTTTCTTCTTAAAAAAATAAAATAAAATAAAAGAATACCCCCCCCCCAAAAAAAAAACCCAACCCTAATTTGAAAGTTAACTTTCTTCTTAAAAAAAATTACTTTGCTATTCTTTTATTTGTCGATGTTTACATATATTTGAAAGTTAACTTCCTTCTTAAATTAAGTACAAAAAAAATTCGCTTTACGGAAGCGCGTACTAATTTCTACAAAGAATGACTGTGAAAGAAGTAAATAGGCCCAAATTGTATATGTCCACCAACAAAATTCAGCACTGAATTATTTATCAATAAGCCGGTAATGACTGACGAAATACCAGGAAAAAAGTCCGATTTTTTTTCGAATCGTTAACATCCAAAAAGGTAGGTTTCTTCAATATCTAATTGTTGATTTGAGTTCAGCATATACACTTGCACGGAAATAAGACGATTTTGGAAAAGAAATTGAAGGGATATTAGCGCTCCGGTGTTAAAATAAAAATTTACCGGGTTTTGTACGATTAGAGCAAAAACAGAAAGGAAACTCCAGAAAACTCTAACAGAATATAATAAAGGAAAGTGAAAAGAAAAGAATTAGAATAAGTAGCATTGGGATGACGAAAGATGCCTTCGAAAAGTTAAGCAAATAATTAAGAAACAGGATTATTCTTTATAAGCAGAGAACATTTTTTTTTTACTGTTATGCAATATCACTCTTCCTATATGGAAGCGGATGCTGGACAATCTCATCACATATAGAGAAGAAACTTAGAGCAACTTAGAAATTTCAATCACAGGGTGATGATCGAAGCGTACAACGGCTGAATCGTCGTAAATATAGCAAAAAAGATGAGGACAACAGTCCGAACAATGTAACTAGTTTAAATACTTACAATACCTCATCTCAAAAATATAGACAGCTACCTAACGTACTTACGTAAATTATATTTTAGAACAAATACTAAAAGAACAGAAAGTTGGGAAGACCCATGTTTGTTCGCGTCCTAAAGTGAAACAGAGAAAAAATTTTTTTTTTCTTTTTATGAATTCTCGTAAAAGCAAATGGCTGCTAAAAAGAAATAGAAATTATCGTTGCCACTTCAAAATTCAAACTACAATATTTCTTAAACTGCCGTTTAAAAAAAAACAAACATTTTCCGGATTTTGTAACGGTCTGCAGAATTCTTGAATCTTGGAGAATTGGAATTGTCGAAAAATCTGTTCGTTTTTTGCTTGTCAGCCGATCTTCCAAACCCATCATTGTATTTCTTCATTCATTTTACGGGAAAAGATAACTAAATTGGATTTACTTTGTAGCCAAAGCAGAAAATGGCACAACTATTCTTTGTTTTTTTAACCTTAGACCATCACGGAGCAAAGAAATACATCGAGCAGATTGTTCTAGAAGGACGATCATAGATCTCCACATATTTTCTGTGCCGTGTCCCGAGAACGAGGCTGCTCTTGGATCTCTGCAAGTACCTAACTTTTGTCGCTCTCAGAATTTATGAACTTCCTTCGTGATCCTCGTTCTGACATGCCCTTGCGTTAACAAATATTTATTCCACTCTGTCCTCCCGACGAAAAATTGAGTACCTGTATCGACTAGACACCTGGCTGAGCTTGATTGAATAGATGCAGTTAAGAAAAATACTAAAGGACTAAATTATTTGCTGGTAGGAATTAGATTAAAAAACGACTATTCTCGTATTGTACGCTACAATGGTAAATATATACACTTACCATTGTTGTCGTGTCAGTTTACTCAAATCATCCTCTATAATATGCCGTGTCGCTTCACAACGTTGGCGATCATAGCTCTCCCCAATTTCCTGTTATTTGTAGCTATTAATAAATTATGTCTTTATCTTATCTCTCCTAAAACTTGTGCCGACATCCATTTACTTAAACTCGTTAAGTAGGTTTTGCGTTGTTTTCCACTGTCCTTATGACCTTCAACCTGTCCTGTGAGTATCTAATTTTCCAAGCATTCTTTCCTCATGATCTGCATAACAAGTCTCAAGTGTCACATTGTTTATCCTAAGATCAAATGTTTTTGCTCTAACAATCTTCATTAAGCATCTCCAAACATTGAAGCAACAGAGATGTTCTAGAGAAGGATGCTGAGTTTGGAAGCAAACTGTTCGACATTCTTTTCCATATGGGAGGAGTGGTATCAAGAAGAGAGAGCTGAAATTTAGTTAGAAGGCAAAAAGGAGAGAGGAAAACATCGCGTAACATACTTAATGGATGGCTGAACTGGGGTTAGGAGAAATAGCAAAAAAAAAAAAAAACAAAATTAAAAAGCTAAAATGAACAGGAAATTGTAGAGAGCTATTTGGAGGAGAGTTCGAATTTTTAAGCCATTTCTTGCCCGAGATTGGAGTTGTTTTTCAGGCGCAACTACCAAAATTTCCCAAATAATCCCCCTCTTTACATATACATTTTATTGGGTACACTGTTTATGTTAATGTTCTGCTAGTTTGAAAGCAAATATACTCAAAGCAGAGGATCACGGCCGCATCACGTTGAAACATTGGTTCCCGTCCCATCACTAGTATATTCATAATCTATCTATCTATCTATCTATCTATCTATCTATCTATCTATCTATCTATCTATCTATATTTAAGTATGCATATATATATATATATATATATATATATATATATATATATATATGATCATTTCACTGCAAGAAAGGCGACAATTCCACTAAGATGCAAAGACTATCTGGGAGTGAAAGACAATGAAATATCTAAGTCTATTCACCATGTATCTCACTCTCTCTCTCTCTCTCTCTCTCTCTCTCTCTCTCTCTATCTATCTATCTACACACACACACACACACATATATATATATATATATATATATATATATATATATATATATATATATATATATATATATATATAAGTTTGTTTCTTAATATAATTAATATTTGCTCTGTTTTTAAATTTAACTCTCAAGATTAACTCTCTGGAATTATTCATACGGTTTAACAAACATATCACCTTATATATATATATATATATATATATATATATATATATATATATATATATATATATATATATCAGTTCATCCCCCCATAGATATATATATGTGTGGGGGGTGTTTTATTTGTGTGTATTTGGGTGCGTGTATGTCTGTGCTTGCTGGTCAAATCTATCAATCTTTCTCTTTTCATTTCTATCTATCTATCGATATCTGATCGTTTCTATCTACTTGTCTGTTCCATTCTATCTATCTATCTATCTATCTATCTATCTATCTCAGTCTGTTCATGTATCTATCTATCTATCTATCTATCTATCTATCTATCTATCTCAGTCCATCTATCTCTCATTCTGTCTATCTATATCTATCTATCTATCTATCTATCTCATCTGTCTATCTATCTATCCATCTATCTATCTATCTCCAGTCTGTTATCTATCTATCTATCTATCTCAGTCTGTTTATATCTATCTATCTATCTATCTATCTATCATCCATCTATCTATCTATCTATCTATCTATCTCAGTCTGTTCTTATCTATCTATCTATCTATCTATCTATCTATCTATCTATCTATCTATCTCAGTCTGTTCATATTCATCTATCTATCTATCTATCTATCTATCTATCTATCTCAGTCTGTTCTTATCTATCTATCTATCTATCTATCTATCTATCTATCTATCTATCTATCTAGTCTGTTCATCTATCTCAGTCTATCATATCATTCATCTATCTATCTATCTATCTATCTATCTATCTATCTCAGTCTGTTCCATTCTATCTATCTATCTATCTATCTATCTATCTATCTATCTATCTATCTATCTATCTACGTCTAAAAGTAAGCAACTATTCTAAAAGTAGAGAATTATGGCCAAATCACGCTGAAACATGGGTTTGGGTCCGAACACCGATGTTCAGCAAATTCACTTTCCTCTTATGTTTATTTTTTTTTTTCAATTCTAATCTTGGCTTCTTAAATCAATAAATATTGCCGACGAGTGGATCTAGTTAAAATATTCGGTTTTCTTATGAATATAATACGGCGTATTTTTTAATATTTATTAATAAATGACATCGTAGACTCGCGAGACACAGCAGACAATTAATATTCAGGCACGTTTATGCATGTTTGGCAAATAACTCTTATAATCCAAATTATCTATCTTCTTTAAATAGCCACAAAACTGTAGATAATCCACATTGAAGAATTCAATAAATGGAGCCACGGAAAGTACTAAATAAAAAATAAATAAAAACAAAACTTAAGTAAATGCGTTATTTTATACTGTATGTAAGAAGTGTTTTAATATTACTAGTTTCGTGATGGTAATTCTAGCCTTTTCACTATAAGGAAATATTTGATATATATTGACCGAGCAGCCGGTACTGTTTCTGGATGAAACTGATAAAATCCTTTTCTTAAAGCATTTTTTTTGGCGGAGTCGTTGAGGGGGGATCTCAAGTCCAGTAGTTGTTATCGCTCTTTCCTGTACTGATGAGGATTTTTCTTCCGAACCTTATATTCCAGTATTTCCGGAATGTTAACATCTCGATTCTGTCCATATTTTGCTTTCGATTTTTTTTTTTTTTTTGTGTTTCAATTTGTTCTTGCCAAACGCTATTTAAGCAGTTAAGACTTGACAGCTTGCATAAAAGCAATTCTTTCAGGCCTGTGACGTCATCTCCTACCTTATGAATAATGCAGATGCACAGGAAAATAGGTTTTCACCTGAAACAGAATAATTGATCAGCGTGTCAATGTGTATTTTTTTTTAATTATTTGCAATTGTCTGCTGTGCCTATCAAGTCTACGATATTAATAAAGTGATAACGACGTATATATTAATAAGAAAAATGGAAAAAACGTTATGAGCAGATATAATGATTTTCTCACACACAGCAAAAAAAAAAATTATATTTTTATTATGTTACAGTCAAGAAATAAATGTATGTATCTAAGTCTCACACGTCTATCTATCTATCTATCTATCTATCTATCTATCTATCTATCTATCTATCTATCTATCTCTATCTGTCTGTCTGTCTGTCTAACTGTATGTCTATCTATCTATCTATCGCATTCTGTTGGTACCTATCTATCTATCTATCTATCTATCTATCTATCTATCTCATCTTATTCACATATATCTCTCAATCTATCGATTTATCAATCTGTCTCATCATATTCATCTCTCTCTCTCTCTCTCGCTCTCTCTCTCTCTTTCTCTTTATCTATCTCAACCTATTGGTATCTATCTATCTATCTATCTATTTAGCAATCTATCTATCTGTCTCATCCTATTCATCTCTCTCTCTCTCTCTCGCGCTATCTATCTATCTATCTATCTATCTATCTATCTATCTATCTATCTATCTATCTATCTCATCCTCTTGGTATCTATCTATCTATCTATCTATCTATCTATCTATCTATCTCATTCTCTTGGTATCTATTTATCTATCTATCTATCTATCTGTCCCATCCTATTCATCTCTTTCTCTATCTATCTATCTATCTATCTATCTATCTATCTATCTATCTATCTCATCCTCTTGGTACCTATCTATCTATCTATCTATCTATCTATCTATCTATCTATCTATCTATCTATCTCATTCTCTTGGTATCTATCTATCTATCTATCTATCTATCCCATCCTATTCATCTCTTTCTCTCTCTCTCTCTCTCTATCTATTTATCTATCTATCTATTTAGCAATATATCTAGCTGTCTCATCCTATTCATCTCTTTCTCTCTCTCTCTCTCTATCTATCTATCTCATCTTCTTGGTACCTATCTATCTATCTATCTATCTATCTATCTATCTATCTATCTATCTATCTTATTCTATTCTTATCTATTTATCTATGCATATTATTTATAGATGCCATGCAAATTAAAAAAAAAGAACATGATTATTTATAGTGTGTGTACTTCAGGACCCTCTTAATAAAACTATTACCATCTACAAACACGTCTTCAAAACCTTATATTACATAGCCAACCTTCATTGAATCCATTATTAAAGAATCTAACGTATGTTTATCGAAGACAAACAATATGTACTTTAAGTACTTCCTAAATAAACATGCGAAAACACAATTAATATAATGTCTATACAGAGAGTGAGAGAGGAGAGAGAGAGAGAGGGGGGGAGACTTAAGAATATACATTATCATCTGAATCTCACATAGACAAATAAAATTAATTATACATTTACACAGATACAGCAATATTTACGGAATTTTCAGTTAAGCTTAGAATCCTTTAATTTCTCGGACCGTAGGATGGACAAGTCGTCTCACTTGGAACGCCATGAATTATACTAACGTCTGTTTAACAAGTCGAATAGACATGAAACATGATTAATCAATGGCAATAAAACAACAAAAAAGTAAAAATACCAGTTCTTTCTTCTCCTCCTTTTTTCTACATATCTCAATCTCTGATGAAGCTTTGATAAAAAGAATCGTGGTTCCTATGTATTCTTTTTCTTATCATCCTGTCGCATTCAGATACTTATTTGATCTGTAGATATATATATATATATATATATATATATATATATATATATATATATATATGTGTGTGTGTGTGTGTGTGTGTGTGAATGTGTGTCTGCTTTTTTTCAAATCTGTCTCTCTGTCTGTCTATCTATCTATCTCATTTTTATCTATTTGTCTGTTTCTTTCCCTCTATCTACTATCTATCTCAATATCTCAATCCATCCCATATATATATATATATATATATATATATATATATATATATATATATATATATATATATGTGTGTGTGTGTGTGTGTGCGTGCGTGCGTGCGAATCTAAAGGTGTTTTATCTGTGCTTTCATATGTCTATCTATGTCTGTTCATTTCTCTATCTATTGATAACAATTTGTTTCTATCTACTTGTCTCTTCTAATCTATCTCTATCATAGCATATAAAGAAATGTCCATGTTTTTACACACACACACACACATACATATATATATATATATATATATATATATATATATATATATATATATATATATATATATATATGGCCTGGAGCCCTTATGTTTGTCTCAATGTCTTGATAAAATCCAAAGACGTATATGCAATGTAATTGGCCCTGATCTGGCATCTCGTCTGCAGTCGCTCTCTCACACACGTGCCGTCGCCTCCCTCTGTCTTTTTGTCAAATACTTTCACGGTAACTGCTACGATGAGCTGCTTTCGCTGGTTCCCAGACTTCACGAATTTAAGCGTTAGGCTGGCATCTCACTCTCACTCTTTCATTGTCGAAACTGTTAAATGTAGCCGTCTCTTCTACTCCAATAGCTTCATGTCTCGCACTTCTCGCCTGTGGAACTCCCTCCTCTTTTCCTGTTTCCCTGATAGCTATAATCTCCAACTATTTAAATGTAATGTCAATCGACATTTCCAGATGTCTTGATCTATCCCCTATCCTTCTCTTCCTCTTTTCCTCTATCACTCCTATTTGCTCTAGCTCCAATTGTCTGTAACTCCCTTGCTGCATGCTAGTTTCTTCCCGCATATATATATATATATATATATATATATATATATAGTAAATGTAACGAATCCTTTAGTATATAATCCAAATGGATCCTAGTAATATAAAAAATATTAATGCACAATAAAATGAGGTGATTTGGGATTTTATTGTATTAGTTTACACACACACACTAACACACACACACACACATACATACATACATACATTACATATATATATATATATATATATATATATATAGGTAAGATGAAAACAAATGAATTGTAACTCCACTGCCCGTAACATTTAATTTAATAGATGGGTTAATAAAAGAGTTGAATATATATATATATATATATATATATATATATATATATATATATATATATATATATATATATTCGACAATTTCACTAAGTGGCAAGGAGCAACTGGGAAAAGAGAATTAAAAAAAATTGGAAGGAGCGGCAATCCAATCCTAAGCAGAAAACAAGGGATGGACCTCTACTCCTGTTCAGAAGACCGTGTTGGAGTGTGAACCGGCCGATATGCGAACCTATCATCTCCTTTAGATGTGCGTATCGTGATTGCCCGTTCATATCTATATATCTGACGTGTTTACCGATAATCCAATTTACCATATAACAGCCGGCCTTGTCTCCTCTTCTCATTTTCACTTTCAGTTCACACCTATTCCCGTCAAAGTCTAATTTCTAACTTCTTCTTCTTTTAGCCAATTTTATTGCTTTCTGTTCCTTCTTCATTACATACCCTAACATTCTCTTTGTTCAATTATCCATCATCCTTCACCACGTCCGCCATCTTTCTCGTGTCTCCTTTTCGTTCCCCGGGCTTATTTCGCACTAGCTCTTAACCACTTAGCTCAAATAGCCTTCCTCAATTCTCCATAACAGCTATTCATAGATTTCTAATTATACACACACCTATATACACGTACCCGTGTGTGGGTTTCTGTGTGTGTGATTCCGTAGTAAGTCAAGGCGATCTGACCTAAGCCACTAAAATCTGAATCGCTAAGTAGGATTGTAATATAAAACATTTACTTCGATTTGTTATTAAAGAACCATTCTCATTGGAAACGGTTCCTTTTTTTCTTTTATAATGTTCTGTCTTCGATAAGATACAAAAGAACAGGAAAATTAATTCCATAAAGAAAATAATATCTGATTTTGAAAACAAAAAAACAAATACCTTAAAAAATAATAATACAATTCATTCATTTCCTTTCTTTAATTTTTTTAAAGAAACGAGCTTCCTTCTTTACAAGGACCGTAAGCCACACTAGTGGGTTACAGTGTAAGAGTTTGGATTTATGTCGATATGTGGAGAAGATAAACGGTTAACCCTAGATATCATAAGATTGTAGTGATGGCTAATACATCTTCTTGTGAGCCGATTTCACTGAGCAAGTGTCCAGGGAATAAGCTTTGCCGCCGGATGTATTTTATAGCCATACCCAGGACGGCAGTTATCGGGGAAGCACCATCTTGGGAATTAGCTCGTCTAAGTAGCAATTTCTGGGGGGAAAAAAAGCTGTTCAGGTGGAACTTAACATGTCACCAGTAGACAGTCACTTTACGCATATCGGCCGGTTCACCTTCCCTGTGACTTTTCCATAAATACTTTCATGTTTATTTGTTGACGAACTGTCCGCTATGGCACCTAGACTTATTGAATTCATTATTCGGACATATTTATCACAACGTTGTACGTTCCGGCATTCTTCAGGTGGTTGGAATTTCGAACTGAACCCTTTATTTCGCTCACGTTTCGCTTTGTTTCACGTTTCGCTTTGTTTCACGTTTCGCTTTGTTTTCGCTCACGTTTCGCTTTGTTTAATGGGTGTCAGTTATCAGTTATCTCCTGCTAATTTCCCTCTGAAAGTTCTCCACTGCCTTAACCGGGTATTGAACTCACACTCTTTGGGTCCTGCCACTTGATCTAACCATCTGTGTCATGTGTCCTTGAGGACATCCGGGTATGAATTTCTGGGTATTATAAAGCTAATGTCTTCAGCAACCATTTTTACCAGTGTTCATATTGCAATTTTGCTGTTATCATCACATGTTTTTACCAGAGTTCATATTGCAACTTTGTTGTTATCATTGCTTTTCTCTGGCATTCCTAATGAATTCAGTGCTAGATTTGCGGCAAGGTCTCATCATTTTACAATTGAAATGATACGATGTAACCGTAAGTTCTATGCTAAAAGTACAGATCAAATGAAGGCGGTTTGTTACAAGATGCGTGGCATGGCTGCTCCCAATCGTGAAGAGTAAGCCTGGTGAAACAAAGGAATCTATTTGGTCTGAGCAGTTTTTATGGAAGTAGCGAGAGAGCAGTGAGAGACCAGCGACATTTCGTATGTGAGGTCGGGGTTTCAGGGTTGAATATAATTTCTTATCCACAAGGACACGTGAAATCTGTTCGAGTGAGACTGACATATCACCAATAGAATACAAAGGAAATGAAGTTTGGGCGATGCAATGGGCACGGCATGAAGAGTCGTGAAGGTTAGACGTAATTGATGTAAGGAATGCCATTCGTCTGAACACTTACCATGGAAATAGCGATAGAGTAGCTTCTAACATTTCGTCTCTGTAGAAGAGGTTGTAGGGTGGAAAATAATCCATGACCCACATAGGCGCAGAGACGCTTTTGGACTGAAGACAGAAAACTGAAGACATGAAAGCTTCAATCGATATACAATGACCTAAGAAAAAAGTTTTAGCTAGCAGAAATAAACTACACCCAATTTCAAAATTTATTTACGTAATCCTACTTAACATAAATGTACAGTATTTGGAACTGGTATAGAGTAGGCAATTTATTTGCTAGTTTCAGTTCTTGTATTCAATCTTTCATGGATTTGATCAAGTTATCAACAATTGTCTGTGTTACAGTTTTCGGATACATTAGACTACTAGTGAGCCAACCCAAATGACTTGACTCACTTTATAGTCCACCAATAGAAGGTTAACCAATCAGAAGACGTAAAATATTCAATCCGTCGTTTATAAAGGCGGCCATTTTGTTTACTCTATCCGAATGTCCAGTGCCAACTTGTCAGGCGAAAGAACAGACGGAAGAACTACTGAACTACGCTCTGCAACTTTACCGGGATTCTATACTCGAAGACGACCGTCATCATGAACAACCTACTTTTACCAAAATATCCACTGCTAACCTGAACAACGCTTTCCTACTGTCTTCGAAATATTCACTGCTAACCTCTGAATTCTATACTCAAAGACGGCAGTCATCATAAAAAAACGTTCAGGTCCATATTTTGACACTCTTTTAGTAATGTTACTTTAAAGGTTGCCACTGACGTGATTTTGGTTGCACGCTCTCAAAGTT